TTTTTTTTTTTTTTAAGAAAACACCACCTCGTGACTGCTGATAGGAGTGATGAGGCGAATCCGGAAACTAAGTTAGTTTTTTTTTTTAAGTAGGAAATCTACTAACTAACCTCCCTTCAACTTTTGGCTGCTGGGATTTGACCTGGGTCTCTGTCCAGGTCCCACAATTTGGAATTCTAACCTCTAGGCTGGACCCAGCTCGGACACGATGTAAACCAGAAATACCTGCCCTTCAATTTGTGGGTGGGTGCTGTGATTCGAGCCCTGGTCTCCAGGGCCACAACATGGAATTGTAACCACTGCAGATATGAGGAGTGTTGTATTTAATACAGCATACGTACATCATTAAATAATATTGAACTTCAGAGTACAACTTTTTGGGACCTCGGCACCGACACTCATTTTCATTTTTTTTCTTTAGAATTTGGTTGGGAATTCCGGCGAGGCTTTCCGGCAAAAGTTGTTTGTATAACAATGTTGCACATCACCATTTTCTTCTTCCCAGATTTCTTCAAAAAAAAAGCAAAAAAAAGGAATCTCTCATTGTCTCTGCCATAAAAAAAAATATTTCTGTTCTCCTTTTCTTTTTTTTTTTTTTCTCGATTTTGTTTGCAAATTTTGCCAGGATCCTCGGGGGCTAGGTCCCACTTGCACGGACTAAGAGATGTTGGCCGTCGATAACGAAGATCAACGGCCAAAATCTCTTAATCGGTGCAAGTGGGACCTCGCCCCAGGCAATAGTTCTTTGCATTGCAGTGTTGTACAACCTTTTTTATTTTTTTATTTTTTTATTGAGATTCTGCACAAGCAGCACAAACCAAATTTGTATTTGTGTACATTATATTCCAACCTACATTCTATTCGAAAAAAAAGCAATTTATGAGAACCCATTTTTCAGAGGTCAGTTGAAGAGAACGTACACAAGTTTTCGTCGGGTTAACATGGTAGCCATGTGCCCATGAAATTTGGGAGCTGAACCTAGGTCCACTACAGGGAATTCTAGCTGCTAGACTACACCCACACGAACCTGGTTGTAAACACGACCAGATTGTGTTTTCTTGGCACAAAGTTTGCAGCAGTGGGGCCAGGCCCTTAAACCACCAGTACATGGCCCAGCTATTGGCTGCGGAAAAAAAAATAGAGTAAAAAGTCGGATAAATTTGGGCGCTCCTGTAGTGGCCGTGTTTTCTTAGCACAAACTTCGCAGCAGTGGGGCCAGGCCCTTAAGCCGCCAGGACTTGGCCCAGCTATTGGGTGCGGAAAAAAATAGAGTAGAAAGTCGGATGAATTTGGCCGCTCCTGTAGTGGCCCATACGTTTCCTAAAATCGTGGCTTGTTAACGGGCATGGATGTAGAAAGTTGGGTGGTTTAAAAGTTTAAAACTCATGCTGCCAAATTACAGTAGGCCTCTGAGGTACAAAAACTCATGCTGCCAAATTACAGTAGGCATCTGAGCTACAAAAAAGACACCATATGTGGGTGCTGGGATTCGAGCCCAGGTCTCCACGGCCACAACGTGGAATTCTAACCACTAAACTACACCCACATGTTGTCCAGAAAGCATTCAGTGCCTCACTTATTAAGGTGATGTGCCACTGTCGCAGCCAGCATCACAACCACTGATTGGCCATGTGCTCCACTCCTCAACTGTGAAAAAATACACTATCTCATTCTCCAGACAGTTCTAGTTGCAGGGACAGGAACAGGATGAGTTCTGTTTGCATTTTGTAAAGTCTACAGTTTTCCCCCGAACATAACGCACCCTGATAATGAATGTATACAGAATCACAGATTGTCTTTCCGCCCGATACAGTCAAAATGAGGGTGTGTTGTGTTCGGGGGAAGATGGTACCGATGGAGGTCAAGGTCGAGCTTGTTCCGAATGAACAAATGCATCCCTCCTGAGAGCATACTCGGACTACGATCTTTCTTTCCATGCTCTAGCGGAAGATTCATTCTCATTTTGCACATTTGGTGAGCAGTGGAGCAAGGCGCAGGGGGATGGTGGTTACATGACCGAGCTCTGATGATGAGTGCATAATGAGGCCGGCTTTGAGTGAGCTTGCCACGTGGAAGGATAATCATAATTCAGTATTCGGGAGAGCGTTGGCTGTTATAACGTAGTCCTATAGTCTTCCCCCGAATAGAACGTACGGTCATTATAGCTGAATTTAGACTGGAAGATACCCCAAATTCAGCTATAATGACCGTACGTTGTATTTGGGGGAAGACTGTAGCAACCCTCTTGTATAAATCAGCGCTATGGTCCCCAAGTAATGAGGCTGTCAGAGCATTAAAGAGACAGGTAGTGGCCTTCTTTTCAAGGGGCAACTATGAAATTAAGAATGCGATCATCCAAGTGGGTTGGGATTCAGCCATTCAACACTTCAAGTCTAAAGCAAGCCTGGAGATTTTGGACACTGGTATGCGGGTTATCGTCCTGTCACTCCAGTGTGTGAAAAAACTGACCTTTGATGCGGGTTACGGTTCGGTCACTGCGGTGGGTGAGAATTTTCCCTGGATGTTCCTTGAGTCCTTGGCGTGCACTGGCCCTGGAGAAACTGGCTGGACTGGCCCCACAGGCCCGCTCCCCTATAAGTCCACCGCGCTGGGTCAGATACTCGGTGATTCCAAGAATGTCCTCCGGCCAAGATGCGACCAATAGGGCAGCGGCTAGAACAGACATGGGCAGCGTGTGATTCTGGGCAAGCCTCTTCAAATTCGGAGAAATCTTCCCTTGCCAGATAAAGTTCCTCATACCCGTTGGGAGGAGGCCTACTGGCAAACTCTCTTTGGCACCTGATGGATTGCCGATAGCCAGGGGCAGATCTTTCCCAGCTCAGAAAGTGCTTGGAAGGGATGGGTTAGTAAAGAGGTGGTAAGGGAGGGGGATCTATGGGACCAGGTGGCGGGGCAATGGAAGACTGCCCTGCAACTCCGTAGCACGTTGAGGTACCGCCAAAGCTGTCTTCTGCTCATATGGGGGACAGCTGTATTCACTGCCCTTTTTTTTTTCTTTCATTTAAGGCCCTTGTGCAAGACCTCTATCCTGGTGGTGGTAGGAGAACCACTGCCCTATTTTCTTCTCTCAATATTATTCCACCTTGCACTAGCTACCTACATACCTCGTGCTATCTTACCCACGCATCTAGGATGGTGGAATTCCACAGTTATGCCCTGAGTGGCGACATAATCTATCCACTCTATACTCTAGCCCTTAACGGCCCACTAGGTTGCCTAAGCCTATGTCTGTCCGCTCTACACCTCACACTAACTGCCACTGGGATTTGCTAGGGGAAATGCTGGAGGAACCCACCTTATATCTATCCACTGTACTCTTTGTGGGGAGTAGTACCCAGGCTCCTAACCCCTACAGTCTTCCCCCGAATACAATGCACGGTCATTATAACTGAATTTGTGATACCTGTCAGTCTAAATTCAGCTGTAAGGACCGTACGTTGTATTCGGGGGAAGACTGTAGCGAGGGATGGCCAGAGCCCCGACTCCTGCCAAGACCAGCCAGGGGGCCCAAGCAAACTTATCTCAGCCAGTGAATTCAAAGTGCACCGCAGGGGGCCGTGGGGAGTCGAACGGCGGGGAATCCAACCCCTGACCTCCTGAATGCCAGTTATGTGTTCTACCAACTGAGGTAGGCCGCTGGCCTCCGGGATTACCTATTTTCTCTGGTGAGGAAGGCCATTTAATGGGCCTTAAAGTGGCACAGGTGCATCCTTGTCATGACAGGAGTGAAGGTGGAAGGTGAAGAAATGATCGAGACAATAAAGCAACGCATTCAGACTGCCATTAGGATGGACCACTGCGCCGAATGGTGGACCAGTGCTCCCAGCACTACTGTACCGTAATGAGATCATGCGGGCCTATCGAAGCCTCTGAATACAACAGTTTGAAATTTGAATTTAGATAAAGACAGAGAGACAATGTAGGGAATACAACAGTTTGAAATTTGAATTTAGATAAGGACAGAGAGAGAATGGAGGGCTATCCAAGCCTCAGAATACAACAGTTTGAACTTTGAATGCAGATACAGACATATACACAGGAACACAAACATACTGCATTGTACAGGGACGCTGGACCCGCTTTCCAGTAGGGGCTGCTTCCCACCAATAGATGATGGGGCCTTCAACGCTGGGGAAAAAAAAGAAGAAAAAAAAAGGATGGACTGGGTGTCTGTGAAGGCCAACCTGGACCATTTAAATGAGGCACTAGACATCGAGAAGGCAATTAAACCACCAGTACGACCGATAAAATGGGGGGTCGGTGCAAGGAACGACCGACAGCATCGTATGACCAATAGTGAAGAAGGAAAAAAAAAAAAAAACAGAAAAAGGGGGAAAAAACAACAGGAAAGGAGGAAAAAAAAAAAACAGAAGGAAAAAAAAAGAACAATTTGAAAGCGGTTGTTGGCACTCGTTGTGACAAGGCGGGAAAGGCACACAAGCACAAGGCGGGAACAGCGCGGGGGAGCGAGCAAGCGAGCGAGCGAGAGAGAGAGAGAGAGAGAGAGAGAGAGAGAGAGAGAGAGAGAGAGAGAGAGAGAGAGAGAGAGAGAGAGAGAG